ATTGTGCTACACAACTACAATCTAAACTGTTGAACATCTAACATTGTTTGTTGTAATAGTGTTCTCAGACAACAAGAATATAACAGTAAGAAAAAACTTTGTGGAAGAAAACAAGGAAATAAAATTAAAATTCTTTAATTCAACAGGTTAAATTTAGGGTAATTTCTTTGTTTCAACAAAGAGGAACACTTGTTTTTTTTTTTAAATAATGCTAACAATCTGCTATAATTAGGCATCCCAGAATAATGATAATCAAGTTCTTTGTACTATTCAAACTGATTTGTTCTTTATCAGAACAAACAACATTCTGGTTCCAGCGTTATTGAGTCTACAGCTACAACGTAGTTATCTATAATTAGGTAATCTATCATTTTGGCTGAATGTAAAATTAAGTTATAAAATAAATATTAAAAGACAATAAAGTACAACGGCCAACTGGCAATAATTGTCTAGAACCTTGGCCCAAAGAAACAACAATTGAAGGGCAAACCACCGTTGTCAGTTGTTATTGAGAGTTTGTTATTGAAATGTGCAAAAAACCAGGGCCGCGTTAAGGGTCAGTGGCGCCCTGGGCAAACCCAAAAGCAGCGCCCCCCTTATATATATATAACTATAAAGGTTTTGCCCACAGCAGTGAAGGGGGGGGAAGAGAGAAGGGGGTTGACTCATCAGTTCGCCGAAATTCACAGCAGGTGGGTTGGGGGTTGGTGTGAGTGCAATGAACTTGACAGTAGTTGCTATGCGAATGCATCTTTCCCTGCGCCAATAGCTTAATGCACTACGCAGTGATTTGATTATTTTTCAGTACAGTTCAGTGTGCAGTTCATTGCATTACACACGTATTGAACGAGATTCTACTAAGGGAGTATGTTTTTCCGTGGTTCGTCTATAGGCCTATGCATATATATATTTATACATTAGCGTGTTTTTTTACCAGTTTTGTTTCGGGAGGGAGTTTTCAATTCCGTATCAGTGGAAATACTGGTTAATACATTTCACTTTCTTTAAAACTGCTTCTTGAGTTTGTTTTATTTCAGCCAACCACTTGCGGCTCTCGGCTCCACTAGGTTTTTTATGCATTTTTCACTGTTTATAGGCCTACTTACTTGTATCAACACTTCTATTTATTTATTACTGATTTTCTAACTGCAGTGTGAGTGTCAACACTGACTAGTGACTGTCATAGTTTAGGTTGTGTTGTGACTGATTTGACGACTGTGCAGCAGGCACAACACGAACACAACCTACTGACTACTGAGGGGGGAGTACTGTACTACTGTACTGGACTGGCGCCGCGCGGTAGTTGGTAGTTGTGACTTGTGGGGATGGGGGTGGGACTGGGAGAGAGAGGAGGGGCACGTCAACCGTAGGCCTGTAGACTACAGCTGGCCTACGTGCTATTCCCGTAATTTGCTGACGTCACCCAAATTGCAAAAAAATCAGCTGATGTATTGCCATATAAGTATATATTTGTTTTGATTTGATTGTTATTGTTTTTATAATTTTTCTCAATGGTAAAATGGTGTTTGCAATCTGAGTGACGTCAGCATATGACGGGAATAGCACACCTATATGTATTTCCTTCCACCATCCAGGCCTCCCTCTCCCTGCCTCTGATAGTATAGTGAGTGCGCCCGGTTCACACTGCTGCCTGCCTTTCCCTGACTACACAAGGTATATAACCTGAAGGTCGAGTATTTTCAATTTTGTTGTATTTATTTACTTTTTCAATAAGAGAAACTCACTTAATTAAAAGTTGAAATCACCCATTTTATTTTTGAAATCCCGGCTGATAAAACCCTATTTTTCCTAGTGCGGGCGGTGGTTGGGGGCGCCCCTCAGGCGCCCCCAACCACCTGTTGGGCAATTGCCCAGTCTGCCCGTTTATAAAAGTGGGCCTGCAAAAAACAGCAGGGAATTATTTCCAGTTTTTGAGGAGTCAAATACAGACCCCTCAACGCAAATTAATTTAGTTAGTAATGCTTAATTAGTCAAATATTAAATAAATACCATATTTTGTGGAGAATTAATAGTGAGTTAAGCTGTAAGTTGATGAATATGTGGAAATTAGCTAAATATTCCCAAGTGAGCTGTACAGCTCGAGGCAGAGTTACAGAAGAAATCTTAAGCTAAAATATTGTAATGACTAATGACAGTAATACTGCTACATAAACTGTTGAGAATGATTTCTCTTGAAATAAATGTTTATTAGACTTATGAAAACATCAGGAATTTTTTATACTTTTTATAGGTCTCATATAATGTTCTGCTACACAAGGCATAAAACAAACAAACTATTCCCCAAATATTTTAATACCAATATAAAAATTGGTGTAAAAGAGTTGTCTGCAATCAAACAATACTCATTTTGTTAGGAAAGGCTCAGGGAGAGGAAGGTTTAAAAAAAAACAATTTCTTTTTTTAGAAAAGAGAATAACAGCTAGCTATGTTAGAAAAAGTGCAGGTAGGCTATAGTTGGCATGAAATACTATATATTTTTTCCTCTAAATTGGTGTAAATACTTGCACCTAGAGCGTTGTATTAGGGCAACTAGTTTCAAATCAGATATGAGTCATCAGCTCAGAACTATCTTCTTGTCTCTTTGAAGGACGCCTTCATGTAGACCAATCAATGATCTTCAGATGAAGTGAAAAGAAGACATCTAGTACTGGCCTGATGATGGCTCTAATGTTGAAACTAGCTACTTTACTGCAACTTTACAGATCCTATTTATACAAGTATACCAATTTGAATTTTTTAGTATTCATATGCAACCAGAAGGCTAAAATACAGTAAACTATTTTTTACTTTGCGGGCCTTGTCAATTGCTGACAAAGAGTTACGTTCAATATTGTACCATTTTGTATGTTCTGTCTATTTGGCTTTTTGCTAAGCTAAGCTAGCTTCTATATTCCTGTTTGTCTAGATCTCAAATAAACAATATTAACTTTGCTACAAATATTATAAGGACTGTGAATGGTTTTGTGGACAACACACAGCCTACACCAGATTTAAATTTATTAGGTAAAAAAATTACCACTAAGAATTTTAAAGGGAATGAATCAGTAAGGCCTTGCCTCTTTAAGCGCCTATACAATACTAATCATCTCACGCTTATTTACAAGTTAAAATAAGCTTTTTAACACCTCCCTCTACCCAAAGACCATTGTGATTAAACCACACAACTGAATTTTAGAACAGAATATTCTGGCTGGTACCATTTGTCATACCTTTGTATGGTTTTTTTTTATGTTCAGTACTATCTTTAATGAGATGATCTTGTATTACATACAGTTATTGTTTTGAAATCATCCCACACCAGAGAATTAATATTAGGCTACTCATTATTGACATCATTGAACTGGAACGGTGCAAGAATTACTGGCTCTGGCTCTTCAACTTCCCAAATTCCACACTACAAGATAACTTTTTATATAGATCCTTTAAAACAGCAGCAGGTTGTTTTTGGAACTTCCTAACCTACCGAGTGCAGGGCCGAGTGCCGTTGGCCTTAACACTTTGATGAGGGTCATTTTACAGCCTGAGGCTTGGCGGTGTGAGTGCCGGACAGGTATCAGGGACCAGTTCCACGGTGCAACGGGTTTGGGGGTGGAAAGATTGACCAGGGGGGGATGAGCAAAATTTGTTGTAGGGATAAAATGAAACTGCTAGAACCTAACCTAATCTATCTTGCTGATTATGAAAATATTGAATGAAGGTCAAAACACACATCGAATCGATGTTAATTTTCAATCGACATTAGGGCAGCCTAGTTAAGAAACTGTACCTGGCCTCCGTTACATCCTGCCAGCACCATTCACCCCCCCACACCCCCTTCTTCTAATACCTGAATCACTTATGCTCTGGGGAGTTAAACGGCATTAGGGCCTATATCACGGTTTTGACAGTTTATAATTTTTTTTTTTTTTAAAGAGGTTGGTGGCCTCTTTTAACCTTGCATGCCCGTCCAAATAGACTAAGCGCCCGTGCGTGGATCGTTTACAGCAAAGCAAGGAGTGAGCCGGTACAGTACAAAGGTGAAGTGTACTGATAAAATGTTATCGGCAGTGATCAGGATCCGAACCCACGACATCGTTGACTTGGGCCCGAAGTCCGCGACGCTACCGACTGAGCCACCAACTCACTTAAATCCCCTCGGCAAAGAATAGAACAGCACTCTCTCCGTTTTCCTAACCTACCCTATCAGGTGCCTAAAATTATGTTCCACTGGCGGTGTGTTTTAGCCAAAATGTATCCAAGGGTAAATGTGTTTGATTGGTCTATTATGAATTTATGATAATATAGCACTAAGTACTGTAGTATAATATATTTTTCCTACAGTAACTGACAAAGCAGACTTCTTTCCTCTGATTATAGCACACAAAGTAGCTAATTACTGCATTTACAAATTTTTGCTGCACTCATTTGTATTTGCTGCACTCATTTGTATTTGCTGCACTCATTTGTATTTGCTGCACTCCAGTATTCCAACCAAACAACACAAAAGAGCGTGCTTTTATTGGATTGTAATACGTATACATTTGGAAAGACGTTGGCAACACTTAAAGTTGCCACGACTATAATCAACTGGTGCAGCATTTCATAGCCTTTTGAATTTTGATGCTACGACTTGTTGTTTCCTGTTAATGTTAACATCATATTTTTGTTCAACGCTTGGATTGAACCTAACTTAAAACTTGTTGTTTAGCGTTTCAAAGATTAATTATTTTGATGATTTATAGTAACTGTAGGAAAAATGTCACGTGAGCGCAAAGTGCCACTTCGTGCACTAGTTACACAAATACCTATTGCATTATTTACGTTAAAAAAATGTGTTTTAAAAGAGTATTGTTAGTAGCTTTGGGATTAAATAACCTTAAAAGGGGTCCATGTGGTCCTAACATTTGCTATGAAGAAATATTCTCATCTAGTCATCCGTAGCACTGGGCTGCGTGTTCTACATGTTTTACCTGTATTTAGTTGAGTGTTTTTTTTATCAGGCCATGCTGAAGGACAAGGAGGCGTACATAGAACAGCTGTTGAAGGAGAGAGACATGGAGAGATTGTCAGTGACTCGTGCAGCTCAGCTAGCGGAGACTGCCGAGAGAGAGAACGACAACTTGAAACAGCAACTGCGCCAGGTTACTAAAATTATTACACTAAAAGCTAATACTCCATTTTAAGTTCACTAAGATGTACCAAGCACCCATAAGCCATGTATTTCAAACTCATTTGCTATTTGGCCTCCAGATTGCGTTGAATATCAAAATCTGTTTAAATACCTGCGTCTTTGTAATCCAAATGTGGAGTAGCAACTAGTTTTAACTTTTCATGTTACTTTTTATGAATTCATCTTCTGGCGTCAAAGGATGCCATTATCGCTTCATAAGTAGGTCGTTGATTCACATGGAGGTACAGGGAAATGATGCGCTACGACCAGGTGAAGACTTCCATGTACCTCTGTAGGGTCAACGTGGGCTATGTTGTGACGTCACTCCCTTTGTCTTGTTATCAGTCAGCTGTGGGTACAATTCACTCCCGAGTCTCTCTAGTACTTTGATATCCGTGTCACAAATATAATTTGATTGGAAAGAAAGCTTGTTGTGTATAATATTTTGTTTGTAAAATTTTACTACTCGGTAAATTACAATTATTCTTCTAGTGTGTTTCTATTAAAATGGCCATTAGATAAATACACTACAGTCATCTTGCTGTCAATATTTGTATGAGGACAACCTAGGTGTTCTAGGTCAAGGTGTTCTATATGAGCTGTTTTTGGAAACCTATTTATCACATTGAGTACAAAAGCTCAGGAGCTAGCTAGATTGTGGCATAAAATATCCTCTAGTTTACAATAAGTAGTCCGTTCCGTTTGGCTCGGTTACAAATTTGGCGAATTTGACAGAAATCAGTTATACACATCAGTACACTCTGTAGGTGGTGCAATTCAATTAAGTTACTGCTTTTACTGAAACTGGGTACAAACAAGAGCGGCCGAGCGAGGGGTGATTTAGGTGTACAGACGTCCCCAGACCACGAATCATAGTGCAAATTTATAAAACTTAACTTATAAAACTGGCCAAACTTGTCCTTTTCATGCATTTATATTTTTTTACTTACTAAAAATACTTGTAACCATATTTTGTACCATCACAGAATAAAAATTATTTATTTATAGTTACAAGAAACATTCGAGGCAGTACAAGCGGACCTGCAACACCAGCTGTCCGAACTACAAACAGAGAATCAAGAGGTCAGGAACCACTTGGAGGAGGAGAGGGGGAAACTGGACGATCTGACGTTCCGTCTGGACGAGGAGGGCTTGGCTAAAACAGACCTAGACGTGAGTATACAAGCAGATCAATTGTAGTGAAGCTTGTAGCTTAAAGGAATCTACAGTTCATTATATTGAGAAAAGTACAATACTTGAAGTTCATTGAATAATGGGAATTATTGTATGTACATTTATATAACCTAAGCTGTCAGAGACAGCTGCCGGGAAGCTTTCAAAACCTTGGGGATTATGACAGTAGTGGCGCTGTTTATCCAGTCTGTAAAATAATACTCTATGGTGATGGAGAGGAATTCCCAAGAGGTGAAGATGTCCATTGCTACAGAACAAGACAGGCCACTGCTTACTACCTACCCAATCACCGAACGACTCAGCTTGAGAAAAAGCCTTCGTACGCAGGTCGTAGATTATGCAACGCTCTACCTAAAACAATGAAGATTCTACCAGGTGAAGATGGGCTTTACACAAGTGGCTGCTTCTGAGACCATTTTACACCATCAGGGAATATTACGAAGAAGCAAAGAAGAACACATGAAACACATGAACTCGTTACTTATTTGTAACATTGACTCGTTTACTGTTCTTGAAGATCAATTGTAAATAAAGAATTATGGCTATGAATAATGTAAAAAAACACTTACATTATTAGGGATCTGGAGTCCTGTCAAAACATGCAATATCTGAATTTTGACCATTGAAACTACTGAGAGGTATCGTAAATTCATATCAATGAATATTGCAGATCTGGGACTCTTACAAGTCATTTTATATTTGTATTGATGCTTAGTTGTCTAATATGTTTTAAAACTTCATTTCTGAGGTGTTGCCTTCTGGTTTACTAAACAATTTACCTAGAGTTGCTCTTGTTGCCAACGTAATCCTTGGTAGTCTTGGTGACTACCAGTTTCGACACACTTATGGTATCATTGTCAAGCCTAGACTTGGTTGTCGCTCCTAAGGTCGTCATAAAGTCTTCAAAACACATAAACCAGACGAATAAATAACGAAAACGAACACAAACATTTTTCCAAAAAAATATGCATGGTCATACAACTCTTGGTGCACTGCGGGTTGAAGGTGTAGGTCTAGACTCTAAGGCAATCACGTCTAGGCTTGACAACGACACCATAAGTGTGTAGAAACTAGAAACCACACCATTAAGACTACCAAGGATTACATTGGCAACAATGTATTTAACCTCTAGATTAATATGTTTTAAAATATTAAATCATAAAAAAGCGAGTAGTTGCATCAATGCTGTTAATTATGCACTTTCCTTTGTGGTTTATTACAGGCCCAGTGTAAAGTGCAAGAAGAACAGATCAAACAGCTGGAGGAGAGATTGGCAGCGGAAACCAGGCGAGTTGAAGCGTTGGAGGCAGAATCAAGCAGAACGTTTGAGGCGGAGGAAGCTCTTGCGACCAATCAAGCAAACTTGGAAGAGGCTAGGGAATTGATCAAGGAACACCAAGAGCAATGTGTCAAGTGGAAGAACATGTTCGAGGAAGAGAAAAAACAGAGAGCTGATTTCGAGAACGAGCTGAAACAGATCAACGAAATCAAAAATCAGCTGGAGACAGACTTGAGGACTTTGACTGTCAAGTTCAGTGAAGTAGAGGGTTCTCTAACAAAGAGCGACTCGGAGTGTGCAAGGTTGAAAGGGGAAATAGAGAAAACCGTGAATCAATGTATGGTTGAAAAAGAATCTCTCGGTAAGGAACTCGCCGTGTTGAAGGACAAATGCAAAGACCTCCAAGATGAAAATAATAATAAAACTAATGACATCTCTGTTTTGAATCTGAATTTAACTCAACTGCAAAGTAAATTCAAGAGTAAAGAAGATGAAATTGTCGGTTTGAAAGAGAACTATAGTAAGGAGATTCAATCTCTAAAAGAAAAAGTGAGCAATCTGGAGAATACTCTTACTTCGAAAACTGTTGCTTTTGAACAACAAGAGGATTTGTATAAAATGGAAATAAGCGATTTGAAGGAGTCTGTGATAGCAGCTAAAAAAGAATTAGAACAGAAAGACAAGAGTAACATGAGCGGTATTGAAGATGCAGCAAAGAAAACTGCTGTCATGGCTGAAAGCTTGAAACAAAAAGATGAAGATATAACAAATCTAAAAAGTAAAGTTGAGAATTTAAATACACAACTTGAAACACAATTAAAGAACATCAATGATTTGAAAGAAAGTAACAGACAATTAAATGAAGATATTGACAAATTCAAGGTGGTTGAACAAACTGCTAAGAGTTTAGAAGAAAAGATCTCTGAGCTAACAGCATCACTTGAATCCCAAAAACAAACTCTAGCTTCAAAAGACGAAGAACTGAGTAAAAACAAAACCATCAATGAAGGTAAGATTTCATGATAATTTTATAAGTTAAGTTTTTTAAAGTTTCATATCAGTTATGTTATGACACTAAGATCCACAAGGCAAAAATCTCCAGGATAAGCCAACATTTTAATATATTTTACTCTTACGTTGTCGTTCATGGGATTTTTCCATGTTTTTGCATTTCACACCACATCCTATGGATTAAATGTGTCATATTATACTATGTTGCTGTAAGCTATTGAGCAATGTGTTACTTATGATCCAAGTTCTGGGCAATGTATTACTTAAAGTGGGCAATGTATTTACTTAATCCAGTTACTAAAAGTAACACTTCTTTATAACTAAGCCCCACATTATTTGTGCCACTTACCAAAGAACATGTTACCTGTACCGGTTACCAAAAAACATGTTACTTTACTTATAACACTTGATGTACCAGTGATTTTACTTATAACACTAATTGATGTAACAGTTACTTTACTTATAACACCATGTACCAGTTATATTACTTGTGTGTACCAGATCTGAGCCGCTCCTCGTCTGCTCTGTCTGTACAAGTCGAGGAATGGAAGCGCAACTGCCAAAGTCTAGAAGAGAAGTGCGCACAAGTAACTGAGCAGAAAGTTAAATTGGTAAGTTCAACACTTGGGCTGGTAATAGAAGTAAAGTTGTTTAATATCAATTTAGAAAATGTTTAATTATGTAACTTATGGATTAGTTAGTTATTTGAAGAAGATTGGCAATTTTGAGGTTGATTTTTTCAAGTGAGGGGGAAATGTTCTGAATTTTCAGTGTTTTTTTTTAGGCAAATACATTTTCAATCTTGAGGCTAGATAACGTTTAAATTTGGGATTTTCTGGGGACCGTATTTGTTGCAACTGTTGGTGAATTTCCTGTGATTGCCAGACAATGATGACGTCTTGGCAATCGCAAGAAATTTTTTTTGCTATTATATTCAAGTGGTTTCTACAATCGCTGGAGTTATCTAGGATTTTGCCGTAATCGCGGGAGACCATAATGATGTCGCCATGGCGGGTGGTGATGGACAATAGACAGTGTGCTTTATCAAAGATTAAGAAGAGTACAGTACCATTTGTTATTTACAAGCTTTACGATGATGTCTCCGTGTTCGCCATAGACGTTCACAATTTTTGTTTTATGTGAAATAATGATGTCTTTGCAGTTGCAGGAAATGTCAATAATTTCGTTGCTGTGGCGTGTGACGATAATGATGATGTTTTTCAATCCTATCCATCTGTTTCAAAATATTGTAAACATTTTCCATGACAAAAATTTCAGCAGTATTTATTTGTTGACAGGAAAACAGTTTGTCGGAGTTGATGAACTCGTCAAGTGACTCGTCCCAGCAGCTGGTCAAGCTGAACGACTCTCTGAGAGAGAAGGAGAGAGAAGCGGAGAGACTGAGAGAGGAGTTGTCAGAGACTCGGAGAGAAAGTGATGTCACAGTGATGAGAGTGCAGCATGAGCTGGACACTGTCAGGGAGAAAACCAAGGTGAGGGGAGGAGTTTAGAATCTTGTAACACAAACGAGATTAATACTTATTTTAAAACCTACAATAACATATCAACATTAAGCAGTGAAAAATTAACTCTGTTTTAAAATTTTGGGTCTTGAAACTCGCAAGTCGTATGTGTTTTTAAAGCTTGTGTTTTTTTTTTTTAATTTTTCAAATGATTACACAAAGGAAATTTCGTACAAAAAACAACATTTAAAGTAGGCCTATTATTAACCTCTATAAATATTTTTATAAGAAAATCATACCGCATGGTCTTTTATTTGGACATTTTTAGACAGTTTCAAACAAATATATTGTGAAATGGTATTTTTAACAAATTTGCTAGGTTCCCTTGTAGGCCTAGAAAAAGCTAATATATGTGTTTATATGTTGAAGTAAATATGTTTTGTTGTATTTTATTAAGTAAGCTTTTCTATTATTCTTATGTTTTATTTAAATTTATTTTGTTCCAGACTGAATTGGAAGAGTTACAAAATAGACTACATACAAAAGAAAATGAATTAGAAATATCCAACTCCAAATGCAGCTCTTTGAGTGCGGATTTTGACAACCTTTCTAAAACATTAAAGTTGTTAGAAAATGATCTGAAAGATTATAAAGCAAAACTAAACGATGAAACTAATCTCAAAGTCGTACTTGAAAATAAATTAGTTGACGAAAGTAAAAGAGTGAGTGACTTAGAGGAGGAAATTCAGAAAAGGATTCAGGATACTGATAAAGTGGAGCAGGAATTGAAGATAAAGTTGAAAGCTGTTGAAGAAGAGAAGAAGTCCTTAGAAACGGATCTGAGAGAATGGAGATCTCAAAATGAAAAGACCGCTATGGACATGGACGAGAGGAGGAAAAAAGAGGAGGCTTTGAAGGTAAAGATGGCTGAATTGAATGCTGAAAAAGAAAAATTAGTCTTAACCTATGAGGAAAAGATTATTTCATTAACAGACAGCTTGGATAAAGTTAAAGTGGAAAAGGAGAAAATTGAAAATGTGGTTTGTGAAAAGGATGTGGAAATTCTTCAGCTTAAACAGAACATAGATCAAATGAAAACCGAAAGCCTTAGGCAAGTCGAGGATTTGAAAGAAAAGGAAAGTAAAATTACAGAAATTACAGGTGAACTTGACAATGCTAAATTATTAGCGACAAACTCACTCAATGCACTCAGCACGGAAAAGGATAGTGTTGCTAAGAAGTTAGAAGAACAGATAAACTCACTGTCGAAAGAATTTGAAAAAGCAAAAATAGATAAAGACGTTTTGGAGAAATCAATATCTGATAAAGATAATGAAATACTCAAACTTAATAAGGTTATAGAAGAGACCAAGTCAGAAAGTCAAATACATCTCAACGAGGTCAAACTAAAAGAAACTCATATCAAAGATATTAGCCAAGAACTTGAAAAATTAAAACTTGCTGCTAGCAGTTCTACAAGCAAGTCAGGTGAGGCTGAACAGAAATATCTACAGCAGATAGATGTTGTTAACTCACTTAAAACCAAGCTAGAGGAAACCATTTCAGAAAAAGATACAAAAATTAAGCAACTTTATTCAGAATTGGAAAACATCAAACAGCTTCAGAAGGTGCAGGAAGATAATACAGTTAAGAACAATGAAATACTTGAAAAATTAAAATTATCGAAAACTGAAGCTGAAGAAAAATTAGCTGAATTGGAAAAAGATTTATTACAAAAGAACCAGCAATATGAGGATGAATCTAGAAAATTGTAAGTATACAATGTGTCTTCTGTTAGTTTATAGGGTTGAATCTTGATAAACGAATAAAATGATTGTAAGTTGACAACTCATGAATTTAAGCTTTTATGGTACTTTGAAGAAAATTGTAATTGCAAATGAGTAAGTAACGGTGATAGATTATATTAAGTAATGATAGACTGATAGATTACCTTTGGCTTTGGGTTTGATATTCCATGACTTCAGCACAGACTAACATGTGTGACTGCGCTACTAAAGCTTAAAAAATTACCTGATGTGGTCGAACTTACGACCATGTTACGTAATCGCTAATGCTGCGGTGCATTTTTTTTTTTTTTTTAAATAGGGCGTGAAATTTTTGGTTATTCTTGACGCTACAAATGCAGCGGGCACCACACAGCGCTGACAGTGTGTTGTCGTCGCGTAATTCACTTATTTCCACAACGGACAACATCCAGCTAGAGGTTGTTTAGGGTTCTTAAAAATTTAGGAAAAACTTTTATTGATGCAGTTTTCAAATAAATATAATATAAAAATAAAAAATTAACATATTCTCATTCCAAAATACACCTAAGAGTATTTAGTAAAATTCATTTTTTCTTCTAAACCATGTCAGACCACAAGCATAGGCCAATCTTGACAAGTGGTCCAGTAATGGTTGCTTGGCCATCTCAGTCAAAAATGATCGTTCTTTTACAATCTGTAATGCCTTGAAATGTTATGGGCAATCATACCAGGTGCGCTTAGACAATGTGGTATATAACTTTGTTCATGCGTTGTTAGCACTAGCAATGCTCAGTGCTCGTCTAACACGGATTCTCCAATGACAATGCTGCTCGTATAACCTGCAACATGGATGTACCATTGCTCCAATGAGTTGTTGAATGTGCAGCGGAATTTGCATATAACATGGTGCTTAAAAGAGCCTTCAACCTTACATGCAGTATGCAGTTAAATTCACGGGGAATTGTGTTGAGAAGTTTGCATCAATTTCGACAACTTCATCACCAACCCAAGACTTGTTGGTATCACAGTGTTCTCCAAACTGAATTGGCTTCCCGATAAATTTGTCTTTGAAACCCCACACAATGATTACATCCTGCTGTGTACAGTGTGTATTATTGTCAGTGTGGTGAGATACGAACATATTATGTATGTTTTAATGACCCCAAAATACGCTCTGTTTGTTTCTATATGCACCATTGTTCACAAGGACATAAGAGTTAATTTTGATCTCCTCAGTTTTGAGGAAGTTGTCCACACATTCAAGATTTTGTGTAAGAGATAAGATCTTATTTTTTTTCATGAATAATTTTTTTACAATCTCAACGATTACATGAGACTGTCGGCCGAAAATTGCATGAGACTGCCAAAGCCTTAAATTGGTAGCTTTAGAAGAGTTAAGTTTTTAACTATCTTCTCTCCCTTCTGATTTGTCAATGTTATCATGTCAAACATTTACTAACCTCCACTAACAGAAGTTTGAAGTTTGATATAATGACTTTAAATTATGCCAAAATGTTTTCGTTTGATAGTATTATATTTGTAGAAATCATTTTGGTTACTGTGTCGCTACTTACGTCTTTACAATGTTTGATTGGAATATTATTTCTTTTTAGTCCAGGTAGTTTAATGATTTGGTTTCACTAAATCAATTAATTTTGTTTTTGCTTATTCTCATGAATTGTGGTTTTTCTGGATCATGTTAGATATGATGAGTTAAAAATTGAATTACCTTAATTTGCCTCAATCAGAACAGAATTATTGCGTCACACAAACAACACTTGTATCACACAATTAACTGCCATGACACAACCATTTCGTGTATCTAGAAACAAATTGTGTACTGATCCAATGATGATGGCCCAAGAATGTCTAAATGTTTTTTACAATAGGTTAGAAAAAGAATCTCAAGCAAATTTAAGGTATTGTAACCTTTTATTAACCATTTTTAAGTTTCTTATTATTTTTATTCCTTATTTCTATAGATTATTCATCCAAATCTAAAGTTGATGATTTGATATGGTATATTTATATGAACAGGACAAATAATTGCAGTGTTAAGATTTTGACCTGGTATAAAAATAATTCTTAGCATTGAGTACAAATTTGAGCCTCTGGAGCTCAAATTAATTTTAGCCTAAGTTCAGTTTATATGGTTATTATCTATACTTATTTAATACGCAAGCAAGATTTTTGTGACAATTACTCCTCCGAAACTACTGAACCGATTGTCATGTTTTTGGTGTCATTGGAAAGAGCGTAGCATGAAGTTGTGCAGGAAACTTTCTTTTTAGGGAAATAATGAGAGAGTGAGGCCCTGGAGCCCTTTAAAGTTTCGTATTTCTCCATAAGATTAACATTGGAAACAAAAATTGTTATGAAACTCCAGCTGTTGTCAGAAATCAAAAGTGAGAAGAAGAGCATAGGTTAATCCTAAACAGTCAATAAGTTTGCTAATATAGTATTATAACAGTTTGCTACAAATATTTACTTAGCAATTGCTCGAATTCGAGCAACAGGGACACTAGTTTAAATTAAACCTGTGATACTACTTCTTAAGCTATGGTCTACATACTATGGATAACTGGTATTTGTATTAAGTTTTGAGTTAAGGCTAAACACAATCCTACAACTACCCTAACTCCTTTATTGCGTATTAAGTTTAATCACAAAAAATATGGGTTAACATGAGGTTTGAGTTTTTATGTTAGTAATTAAGGTAATATGTTCTTTTAGGAAGTCTGATCATGAATTGTTGAAAGAAGAAAAATATCAGCTGAATCGAAAGGTCGAAGAAGTAACTGCTGAGGTTAAGAAACTGGCAAGTGAAAAGGCTTCTTTGATGACACAGTTTGATGTGATGAAGAGAGAAAATGTTGAAATGAAAGACAAACTTCTCATCCAGTCGGCAAACATAACAAACACTACGTCAACCAACAATAACAACGGTAGGTTAGAAATTCAATAGAAAATTAAAATTTTCTTTTAATTATCTAGCCTCTCCTTTATTTTGAGTATTTTCAATGAGACATGAAGTTGATTAAGAATATTTTTTGTAATTTTTCTTAATTATTCACCTCATAATATTAGGTAGGCTAACTAGTAATTACTTGTTCAGTTTATTTAAAAATTCCTACCATAAACATAGATACTTTCTCTGATACTTTATATAGAGGATGATACTAATACTTTAGTAAAACTTGTCACACTATTCCTAGTTCTCTACTGATTAACTTTACAATTCTTGGTTTGTTACGGTTTACATGTTGATTATAGTTATGTCACTTTTCAGCCAACGAGCCGGATCCCAATGCTACCATAACATTCCTGAACAGCATAATAGCTGACCAGCAACGAGAACTGTTGGTCCTGAAGGAAGAAAACCAGCAACTGAAGAGCCTCGGCGTAGTGGCTCCTGTCAAGTTAGTTTCCGCATGATTTATTTGAATTAAAATCTAGAAATAATTGTGTTCCAAGGGCTGCTTAACATTGCTTTGCCTTAAATATCTTGTATGCAAAGCAATCATGGATGCAAAACTAAATGTATTTGACAAATGTTTTTGTTAATTTTTTTCACTCACATATAACACAAACTTGGCACTATACACAAAACATTATAATATTTCACTGACAGCATTTTCAACTAAGGAGGAGAAAGTTTTTCAGGCCTAAGCTGGCTCATTAGACCTGAAAAACTCTCTCGTCCTTTATGGTATTAACTTCCATTGACTCTCTTCTCGTAAGCCTAATGGTAGCCAGAAAATTCTTTAGGCCTAAAGACAACTTTGTCTTCAAGGCATACCTTCCTTAGTAGAAAAATGCTGTCAGTGGCAGTGAAATATTCTGGAGTTTTGCGTTTCTTGCACCAGATTGGACTTTTCCCCATCATGTAAGCCTACTTTCCTTACGAAAAAATCCCAGTGTTTTTCAAGTTGTTGAAAAAGTTCAAACTTATAACACATTCTCCTATCTGCCTCACTATCTGCCTTTAGTGTGACGCTGTTGCTTATTGTATAATTATTGAGTGTTCTGTTGTGATAGGTCGACTCGCACAGTGACCCCTCGCATGTTCTGTGACATCTGTGATTGTTTTGATTTGCACGACACAGAAGATTGTCCAACACAAGGTAGTGACTCCCCTCCGCCCAAACCTAGGAGCCAACGCAAGCCTGTCACTGAGCGACCGTACTGCGAGAGCTGCGAGGGTCAGTATATTAACATACAATGTTCAGCTTATGTTTTAATGTTAGCATTTTCCTCATTCTGGATAATTCTTATGCTCAAATTTCAAGGACCCCACTGTATATTTGTTCCCTACTACCATGATGTCCCACGTTCAAATCCGCCACAACCCTCTAGGCCTAGCCTAATAAAGGGAACATTTTTCAGGACTGAGCCTAGTGTTCTTGGATGTGATTTGTACTGTGTTTCGATACTAACTCAAAATGTGATATTTTGTTACAGTGTTTGGTCACGTTGAAGGTGAATGTGATGACGAGACGTTTTAACTTCCAGATCAAACATATTTTCAAAAGAACTTTGTCAAGGAAGTATAAATTCCAGTACCTGTGTTTATCCTGCATTATGTGATACCTACTCACTGCTTAGCTCTACTTTCTCTTTTTTTGTATAAATGTAAGTTGTAAGTTATTTATTACCTGTAACAACGTTATCATATAGACAAACGTACCATTTTATGTTAGGAGTGTGCAAATAGTGACTTTTCAGTTCGAACCGAGCCTATCTTTTGCAAATAGTTTTGAGTTTTGAGCTTTTTCATGCTGAACTTGAATTTTTATGTGTGTATATTTTTTTATTTAAATGTATAGAACAAGCTTATCCCACAGATTAATGTATCACTTGTTACACTAATGGCTATTATAATTCAGTGCCGCTTAAGTAAATGTGCTTGGCGCAAGAGATTTTAGGATTGTTGAGGGTGCAAGGAGAGGAAGGTGTCGGGGGAGCCTAATTATCTCTTGGGCCCATAGCATGTCCCATACAAACCAGAGGCCTGACAGCAGTAGTTATTTATTCGGCTCGGTAACATTCAAATATTTGTAAATATCAAGCTAAGCTGAATAGTGAGAACGTTTGAATACTTGCACACCCCTATTGTATATGTAAATTTTAAATCATGTTTTCTTAAGTTTCTGTGACAGTGTTAAATTCTGATTTTATGTATTTGTTCAATTCTTTTATAGCTGATAGTAGGATTATATAAACATCTGATCCCCTGTAAAATGTTGCAATACAATAGTTATTTGTGTAACTAGTGAGCAAAGTGGCACTTTGCTGCACACGAGAGCAACGTTTACGTCGAACGATCTCGAGTGCAGCAAAGGTCTTTTGCACTCGTGTTACACATTATATTGTTCCTACAGTCACTATAAAGTATATAAATAATTAGTCTTTCAAACACTGTACAACACGTTTTTAGGTTCAGCTGGCAACACAAATAGGTGCCCTAGAGAAAGTAGTCCCCGGTCCGTATAACTCCGCTATTTTTTCCTTTAAGTGTTGCCAACCTATTTCCAAGCGTACACGGATTACGTGCATAATAGAACCACGCTGTTTTGTGTTGTTTCGTTGGAATCCTGATGTGCGCCAAAGGATAAACCGTACTACTAAGTATAAATATGCAGCAATTAGCAGCTTTCTGTACTATAAACAGTACAAGAAGCCAACTTTGTTGGGTGACTGTAGGAAAAATGCATGTTTCTGGCCCCTGGACTGTATTGTTACAATAATAATAGGTTTTTTACATACCTCCGTCAAATAGTCCAGCGATTAATATTGCTCATCAGCTTACATTTTTTGTTATGAAGACAACATTTTCAAAGCTTGCAACTCGTCAAAAACACATTTATAACACAGACGACACGAATGAAAAAACATTAAAATGGTACGAATACACAATAAACATTTAGATCACGCTATCATGATTCTGATTTGGTCCGGCGCGGCACAGTATTGGTAGCAGACTGGAGGTCTACATCACGTCACCTCCTCTACTGTTATCATTATCAATTATGTTATCAGATCTTCGATCAGCTGTTCCTGAGTTTATGATTGTGTTGTAAATCGAGTGAGACCGGAACTGATTTTTCGTTAAGGATGTGGTCCTTACTACTTACTTAATTTTATAAATTAATTTTATAAACTTCCTCGAATTCCTCCAAGGTGTCAAGTTTGCTACCTTTCCCACAGACATGTAAAATTTCTAAACCTTCATGTAAGCTGAAAAGCAATATTAATCGTTGGACTATTTGACAGAGGTATGTAAAAAAACCTATTATTGTCGTTTCAATACGATCAGTCTAGACCTCAGTCTGTATAGTTCTTTCCAAATTTTCTGTTGGTAAGTAATTTTGCCTAAGAGCGTATGTGATTTGTAAATATTGTTGGCAACTAGCTTTGATTTTTCAGAGTTTATTTTTGTACTCTTGACTGTTTGTATAAAATGACTCTAGTCACCAGCTGTTCTATAACACCAAATGTATTTAACCACAGATATATAATAGTGTTTAGTAGAAAATAGGTTTTATCAAATCAAAATAGTTTTCGGGTGTTTAAACCTTTTTTAAATCATTGGTATATTTTAGATTGTTTATTATTATTTTACTTTGCAAGCAATAACCATGCTCACGCAATAAATCATATATCAGGAATCTCATCTTCCTTCAATTTTCTACCATGCTGATTTGTGCCTAGATATTCTTCTTGATATTGTATTTAATTACTGTGTTATTTTATTCATTGCTGCTCGTGAGTGTTGAGAAATTGTAGGTTATGTTGTATGTTCCTGCCATGTTAAGGATTTAGTGTTATTTATTTATTGTCTGTTAGAATACGTAGTGTTTAGGTCATAATTCCATGTTTTAAATAAGATTTTTCTGTAAGAAAAATAAAACCTGAAAACAAATACCTAACAAAGTAAACTGATGATTGTGTTTGGTGAATCCATTTTGGTCTTCTAGAATCGAATCTATTGTGTTATAAATTATGAATTGTAGAATAAATAGGATAGCAGCTAGATTACTTCGGAACAAAGTTCAGGTAGCCATAGAACACACATAAAACATACAGTATATTTTGGAGGACCTTATAAAGTCTAGATAAAGAGGTGAGTTCACAAAAATCTTTTTTAACTCTCTTAAAACTCTAAATACGTCTTTAAAAAGCATTTTTGTGAACTCTCCTCCTTCTACACTTGACAGTGTCTCCTTCTGTCTATTCTATGGCCTACCTGTACTTCCTCTAAAGTTAGCTAGTTCCTCTTTATCCTACAATCAAGTAGACTTCTCATCCCATCGTAAATTTTGAAGCTAATTTTTCGTGTTTAGTTCTTATTCGTTGACACAAATCGCTAGTGTAGACAACATTTTGTTTCTATTATTTTAGGGTCAGTTTCATGATCTGTGCTTTTCTGTTTGGTTATATAACTAGGGGACGAGTTATTGTTTATGATTAGATCGTATTAATTGGTTAGACGAGGTTTTAAATGATTGAAATAACAAGAAATATATTGTAAGCAAAACACAACCTCTACAGTGTACCGTAAAGAACTAACAATAAAATTGGCTGCAGCTGTCTCAAAAGGATGAGAAATCTAAATCTACTAAGGGAGTATGTTTTATCCATGCTACAATTCAAAATCCTGGCTTATAGCCTTTCTTTGAACAAAACTGTATTGTAAATCAATTCAATTTGAGAATAATTTGACAAACTATCCTAAAGTCATATCTATTCTCTGGATTCTAAAATTATAAACAAATTATTATGATTACAAACATAGCATGGGTGCTCTACAATTGTAGGCTTATCAGTTATCTCAGAAAAAAAATTTCATCAACATTGGTTTCGGTTTGGCTAATGGAGACACCAATGGCATGGTTCATGGTTTGGTTATTTTAGCATTACAAACCTTTTTTCCTAAATAATAGATTCATTGCTCATTATGTCTTCCCGGCCAGCGCAAGAGTTAAATCCTGTCTGGTGTACCATTCACTAAAGGTGGGTTTTCCCAGCTGCCGAATATGGCTGTGGAATTGTGAATGTAGGACGAGTGTTTTGGTGCCTGCGTTTTTATGGTATAGCCCCTGTTGAAAAACGGCTCCACCTGACCCATGGGAAAATCCTGCCAGTTGAAAAGGGCAGACTGCTTTAGAATTCCATGGGGTGCTACAGCCAACTGAGAATATTCGGGACATAATGACTGTAAACTTGCATTTTGGACACAACATAGGTAAAAAGTTCAAACCTCGCCATGACTTCTGCTTGTTTTTGTTGTTTTTTTTGCAGCCCCCATGGAACTACCCATGACTTAACCTTTGTGAGGAGCTAGTGCCAAAAAACAGTCATATTCATTGACCAGGAATACTCACCAATTAAGATTGATTGACTGACCTAGAGCTTGATGTGAGAATCACTCGAAACAAATTGCAGACAACCAATACCCATAGCTTTCAGTATATACTGTGTGATTTTATTCCCCATAAACTTTATATCTGTAAGGAATGGTATTTATATTCATTGTTTGAAGTTCATTTTTGGTAATGGTGGGTTTATGGTGTTTGAGGGATTCTTGCAGACATTCTCCATCACGTTTAGTAAAATAAATAAGTTTTCATGATGTTTCGAGATATGGAATCAAATCCCAACCCAAGATGAGAAAGCACAAAACAGTCCTGACTACTGTACTGTTTGCTGGGTGGGTATTACATGTGATTTTCCAGCTGGGTTTCTTTTCTAATCTTGTCAGTAGCGGCTGATGATCAAACATAGTGGAAGGGCCCAACTGTATATTTTAACATGCAAAGCTTATGATATGATCATACAAGTTTATCACTACAGAATTAGATTGGGTTGGTCTGGCTACTGTACCTGCTATGTAGGGGACCATCAAAATCAGTCTTAACTGAATTTGAATTTAATTATTTGATACATTTTTATTGTAGGCCTAACTTACATTGTTTTTTTTTATGCTTGTTCCAGTAACTAATTAAATTGAACTGATGAATATTATAACGTACCTGTAATTTATTTATGTGGGCGTCCGAGAGTCCTCATAGCTGCAACTGAATCTTATTATGTTTTTAGTTTTATGTAACTACTTTCTCAACTGAGGTTGTAATCAGATTCTAAAATGTGAAAATTTGTTTTCTATGTTCATTAGTTAGGTAATAGTATATTAAACGTTAATCATGAAAATAGGTGTTTACCAGACAAGTGTGATCGTTCCCGTGCGAGACGAAGTCGAGTGTGGGATTACCATACGAGTCTGGTAAACACATTTTGGACAAATGGTGTACGATATTTTACGCTAATTTAACTAAAAAATCTGTCTGTACAAATCCTTATATATACTCCCACTGACTTAACGACTTAGAATTTAGAATCACCACTAATAAACCTCTATGAGAGGTTATGTTTATGATTATAACCACTCATTGCCAAATATAATCAGCTGGTTGGTGTCCGGTAAAAACAGCTATACTCTGGACTTAATCCTTGCGTGTGAAGTTTGTTAAAACAGTGGAGTGTGGCGTTTAAAATACATTTCAAAACTGGCATAATTATGTCAGTGAATAATCCCTGGGGTTCAAATGTTTAACCATCACTTGCCAATGAGAGCATCAGAAAGGTCTCCCACAGCTACAGTAGTCGCAGCTAGTCTGGGCGCGCGGACCCTTGTGTACTACCGTCCCCCATGCCAAAGCCATGAAGACAGCGCTGAGGCGCTGAACAACCCAAGATGGGCCAGATGTTTTTGGAAAATGAGCAATAAACACTCCCCTCTACAACCCCCGCCATAGCACGGCCGCGCGCCCAGACTACCTACGACTACTGTAAATCGATCCTACCCATTTTAGATAAGCTTAGTACAACTTTTGTAGATCTTGTACAAAAATTTATCTCTGTATTTAAAAGTGTAAATCATTTATTTGGTGCATTGAGGTTGCAAACTCTACTAAAACAATTCTATTCTGTCACTTTTAATATCTAGTAGCACAGATACTAACCAATCAGTGAGTTAAAGGAGTTGAAGCAGAATCATAATATTGTACGGAAAAATTCATTTATTAAAAGCAAACGTTCATGAATAACTTATCTATTTACATTAAACATTTATGGAAGGAATACAAACAGATTCTGGGTGAACCGCAAGAATTAGTCGAGTCCTTCCTTTTTCTCCTTAATTGCTTCCTGTTAACAGAAACAACATTCAGTTAGGTTATCAAAAACATTGAATGTATAATATATACGGTATTGGTAAATTAAACATTTGATAGTGAACAAAAGGTTTTGGGGAAATTTTATCCTTACACGTTCTGGCCGCTATACCACTCATTCTGAGAAAGGAGTTTTTAGTGGTTTCTAATAAAGAGCAGCAAAATAAAAAAACGTAAGTTAACATTTTTTCTTTAGATATAAAATGGCAAAAAATAGTGTTAACAAAATAATTAGGCCTACACCTTCGTAAGCAACTAAGATCGATGGTTCAGTTTTTTGGTTAGTTACTTTTACCATGAAAATCTGGAAATTACATAAAAACAGTGGATGCTATGCTGCACACAAAAACGGGAGTCGTAATTTTTAATTAATTCAACACTAATTACTACGAGTTTTTGTTGTAGAAGGGATGATAAAAAAATTATCGCTAAGTGTACTCCTAGAATAAGATAATCTGTTATTTTTGAAAATGGTATTTGCGCAAAAGGTATTTCGCTGCAGTCTTAGTAAATTTACTCGAATTGACTTATGTTCAAGAAGTTTATTTAGATTTCAAAAATATTCCTCACCTTGAATCTCTCTTCAAACAAGGATATTTCAGCGATGAGGTCAGTGATGGCGTTCATCATGGCCTCTTGTGGAGTGTAGTCCGAAGTGGTCTGAATTCTCAGCACAAACTTGTGTTCCAGAGGGTGAGGCAGTTTGTAGCCGGCGAACAGGACGTTGGGGTCCTTCAACAGCTGACTGCAACATGTGTTGTAACCTTGTAACGTTGTACGTTTGGTTATGGATGGACACATCCCATTCGCTTGTAACAGCTGACAGCCAGATTTAGTTAAAAAATGGATGTTCAAAATGAGCCACCAACAGATTGTGCTGATGTCTGCTACTGATTTCTGTTGAATACGCAGTACGCACACTTTTTAACAAAGGCAATTTAAAAGAACAACTCATTGTAAATTATAGCATATATTATGTAGCATCAATAACAGGAGCAAAAACTAAAGGCGCAGATCAAACTTTGATAGCAGCACACTCTGCAGGGCCGCGTTTGAGTGGAGACCTGGGCAGACCCAAAAGCAGTGCCCCCATTTTTTTCTAGTGCGGGCAGGGCGCCCCTGGGTATATGCCCAGACTGCCCGTTTATAAAAGTGGGTCTGACACTCTGTGAGCAGTTTTTAGAACAGGTTTAGAATATAAAAATTGCTACAAATTATTTCCCCGCCTTTTTTTTAGGAATGGTTGGTTTAGTTTGTGGATTATATTGGCAATTAATAATGAAATGTATAACTAAATTTAAATGTTCAACAAGGCCAATATACAGGGTGCGGATAAAGTCAGCGTACCGAAAGTGCAGCTAAACTACAGCTAGTATTAAACATAGGCCTAACTATAACAGTAAGTTATTATTGTAAGTTCCTGTTAGAGAAGCTGCTCAAAGTGACCACCTCCATTGTCTTTTACATGGTTGTGGTGTAAATATAACATCAAAATGTTCCGTTATCAATTTTTTTTTATGTTCTAAACTTTGATGTTTCTCCGAAAAAACGTTGGTAGGTTGTGTTCCAGGAAACTGTTGTCTGTATGCTGCAAGAACATCCGTATAGTTACGATCAAATTTCCACCAGTTTTTCAAAAGAAATACTTGTTAGTCTATACATAGTATGCGATTCATAATAATAAACACTGATGTATTAATAGAACAAGCACTACACTAACCAACTTC